GGGCCTGGGGGACAGGTCCGGTGCAGGGGTTGGTCCGTGCAGGGGTTTGTCCGCAGGCCGCGCCGCAAGTCCGCGCATGTCTGACCCGTACTGCCTGCCCCCAGGTGTGCGGCAGTTCAGCGAGGACATCAAGCAGATGACCGGGCAGCGGCCCAGCCTCTACTGGCGTCTGTGCTGGAAGTTCGTCAGCCCCTGCTTCCTGCTGGTGAGGCCCTGGCGGGTGTCCCCCCTGAAAGCCTCCCTGGGGAGGCTCTGAGTCGGGTTCAGGGCTCTCTCAACCGGGAGGGCAGCTCCCCAAGACCCTTTCTGGCCTCTGAGGTGTCCGCTGTCCCTACCAGACCTTGCCAGGGTGAGCCTCTGCCCAGCGGGGCCAAGACCTGCCCTGCCTTGCACTGGGCACTCCACCCTGGACCCAGCAGGCCCCACCCTGCCCTGACAGGGTAAGACCTGCAGCGGCGCCCAGCACTGGAGTCTGAGGAGAGGAGGGACTTGCCTGCCCCACTGCCCTGGGCCTCAACAGGCCCAGGCTCACTGTCCAGTAGCTGCTGGCTAGTAGCATGTGGGCCAGGGAGCTGGGGCCACTTCTGAGGCCAGTGTGCGCAGCGGCCCTGTAGGGCTGGAGATCCCCATGAGACAAGGGCCTCCCTGTGCCCCAGCGGGCCTGGCGGGCACCCCACGCAGGACAGTAAGCAGCAGTTGCTGAGCCATCGTTCAGCCACGGCACCAACTGTGCCCATCCTGTCCCTACACTCGCCCTGGGTGGTGATGCAGGGGGCTCGGGACGGGCTCACCTCTTGTCCCGCAGCAAGCGCTGGGGTCCGGGACGGCCCCAGGGCCCCCGGTGCCGGGGACCACGTGGGTGCAGTGCGAGAGCTGCTGTGGGCTGCACCAGGGCCCCTGTCCCTGCACACGAGGCCACGGGGCCCCTCCACCCCTCAGACAGAAGCGCGTCCCCCGCTCTCCGCCTGCAGTCCAAGTTGCCGCATGGGCCCTGGCCGTGTCGGGCGGCCGTGCTGAGCCTCTGGCCGCGCCCGCAGCGCTGGGGGCCACCGCGGCCTGGACAGGCCCTGGTCTGGCGCCATCACCACAGTGGGAGAAACAGTTCCTAAATGGCACCAGCCTCTGCCTACAGCAGTGTGCTGCCCGTCCCCCCCACCGCCCTCAGCCGTGTCAAACGTGTCACCCCAACCCTCCGGCCTCTCCAGGTGGCCTCTGACGTGCTGTGGTCAGGCAGGGCTGGAAGGACACGCCGCCTCCCCCACAGCCTGGGCCAGCTGGCCAGGGCTAGTTCAGCCCCGCCCCGACGAAGGCCCCGCCCCAGCTCTGCCGGCCCCGCCCCCGGCGAAGGCCCCGCCCCAGCTCTGCCGGCCCCGCCCCTGACGAAGGCCCCGCCCCAGCTCTGCCGGCCCCGCCCCCGGCGAAGGCCCCGCCCCAGCTCTGCCGGCCCCGCCCCCGGCGAAGGCCCCGCCCCAGCTCTGCCGGCCACGCCCCTGGCGGCCGTGGGCTCCTGCCTGTGGCCAGGGCTGTGGAGCATGCGGGCTGCGCAGCCTCTGGCCCGCAGCCCCCGGGCGCCTGGGCCCTCCTCACCCGAGCCCCAGCGCCTGACCTCCTCGCATCGGTTTCAGTTCGTGGTTGTGGTCAGCATCGTGACCTTCAGGCCACCACACTACGGCCCCTATGTCTTCCCGGAGTGGGCCAACACGCTGGGCTGGACCATCGCCGCCTCCTCCATGTCCATGGTGCCCATCTATGCGGCCTACAAGTTCTGCAGCCTGCCCGGGACCCTTCGGGAGGTGCGTGCTGGGCGCCCCCCACCCTGGTCAGGAACCCCCAGGTCGGTGGGGCCAGGGCCCAGGTCCACTCAGGCTCTCCCTCCTCCTGCCCCGCTGACCACAGGGGCACCAGATGGGCCTGCTGCTGGCCAAGGGCCGTGTCTGAGCAGGCACGTGTGTGCATGTGTGTCCCTGCTGATGTCTTGTGCCTGTGGCTGTGTGCGCTCCAGGGAGTGCCCCAGGATGACAGCCTCTCTTGGGGAGCAGGGCATTGGGGGCCCTGGAGAAGACTGCCCCACTTCCTAGGGGGCACTGCCAGGAAGGGAGCTGCAGCTCTAGGGGCGCCCTGGGCTGCATCCAGGCAGGGCGGAGGGCAGTGACCGTCTGCCGGCTGACCCACCGGCATCCTGGGGCTGCCTCGGGAGTCGGCAGGCCTGGGGCGGGCAGGTGCGGGCCAGGGCGCTGCCCTGGAGGGGACAGAGCCCAGGCAGCCTCTTTGGTCACTGGCCTGAGTGGCCCCTGCTGGGGACCCTCCCCTGGGAGACCCGTCCATGCTGGGAGAAGGGGCCCAGCTGAGAGGCGTGGGGGTGGCCCCCGAGAGGACAGGACGCCAGGAGGGGGCACCTGGCTCAGTGTCCCAGCAGGCTGAGTGCTGAGGGCCCAGGGGCAGCTGGCTGCCCGGAGCCATGGGCAGCGGAGCAAGGGTGTGAGCCCCAGAGGCGGGCAACAGCCCGGGGCCCGGGACGCCTGGCGCTGCCCCTCCCGTGCTGGGTGGGGCTGATCACAGGCGCGTCTCCCCCCAGAAGCTGGCCTACGCCATCGCACCCGAGAAGGAGCACCAGCTGGTGGACAGTGGGCAGGTGCGGCAGTTCACGGTGAGTCCTGCCCGGGGCAGCGGCGAGGAGAGGCCAGGCTGGGGAGGGGGCCCCAGCACAGGGAGCCCGCCCACCGCCGGCGCTTGTGGGCTTGGGGGGGGGCAGGGAAGGTGGTCCCCGCCGGCTCTGCTGTCACAGACACGGGGGCCTTAGCTCCTCTGCGCCGTGGACACGGCCCAGGCGGCGTCCAGGGACTGGGTCTTCTGGTTGTCATCAAAGGGGGACGTTGTCCGGCTCCCACTTCCTGGCAGGGACTCTGTGGCCAGGCCGTGGCCTCTGTCCTCTGAGGTTCTTGCTTGGAATTTACTTTTGTTCTTTGCTCACTCCCCGGACGTTCGCTTGGGTCTCGTTGGGGTCCTTCTTGTCTCCAGCGGAGCTTCTGGCCCCGGAAGGCGCCCCCTGACCCTGGCAGGTCCTCACCCCAGACCCCGGTGCGGGCTCAGCCATCCGTCCACTGCTCCGAGGGCCTCGGGTCCAAGCCCCTTGTGCGGGCGCCCCACGCCCTGCCCACGCGCTGGAGCTTGCTCTGGGGCCAGTCGCACGGCGGCGGTGGGGCTTGGGGGATGCCCCTGCAGCCTGGTTGGGTGGGACGGGCAGCAGCCGTGGGGAAAGGGGTCCCCCCGCTGCACGGTCCACGTCACCCGCCCTGCCCCAGGCTCCCCAAAGGGCTGCGGCCCGTGTTTGCTGGCCCTGGCACTGTGTCCTGCCTGTGACCTGCACGCCTCCCTGGGGAAATGCCTCCCCCCGGAGCACAGGCCCAGGCTCCACGCCCTGCTGCGGCCTGGGAGGTGCCACCAGGCACCACTGCTCCCAGCTGGGCCCAGGGCTCCACCTGGATGCTTCTAAGGCCTGGCGGGCCCTGAAAACCCACCCCCACCCCAAAAAGCGGAGCCCCAACCTGGCTGGGCCAGCCCCTGCTCCGCCTCGTGGGACCCGCGTGGCCTCTGCTCTCCGCTCTCCATGTCCCCGCCCCTCTCACGCTCTCATTTCAAGTCGCAGCCTCTGCCGTGGGGGGGGCCACTGGCCGTGGGGCACCGGGTGGCCGTGGGGCACTGGGCGGCCCCGCAGCTGCAGGGTGACAGGCAGCGACATTTTCCGGAGTCAAAATAGCTGCTCCCGTCGCTCTCCTGTCTTGGTGGGAGAGGAGGCACACCCTCCCTCTAGGCCTGTGGGGGGCAGGGGAGGGGTGTGGGGTACAAGGCAGAGCAGGGAGGGCGGGAAGTGCAGCTCCCCGACGCACCCACCGGTGTCCAGTAACTCGAGCTTCCCTTGCAGCTGCGCCACTGGCTGCTGGTGTAGCCAGAGAGGCCGCCCGGCTGCGGAGGAGACGGAGGACACACGTCCGCTGGCCAGCAGGCCCCGCTGGCCAGGCGGAAGGAGGTCCTGCTCGCACCTCCGCACGGCTGGATACGCTTGGGGCCGCACGTGGTGCCCCGAGTCGGGAGGTGCGCAGACGCCGCCCCGCCCCCGCCGCAGCCTCCACCTGTGCCCGGGCGCACCCCGCGCCGCCCGCGCCCCCCCCCCAGTAGCTTCTGGGTCGTTTACTTTGCTCGTGTTGAGAAAACCAGTTCGTGTTTGTCTAATTGTGCAGAAGGCGACGCGGGGACGGGCAGAGGGCGCCTGCCAGCCGCCGCCCCCCCACGCGGCCGCCCCCGCCCCGCAGCTGCTGCTGCCCCTGCCCTGCCCTGCGGGGAGAAGGAGGGGCCGGTTGCCCGCCGCACTGCACACGGGGTTCCAGGCTGCCCCCTCCCATGCTCGCGGCCGGCAGGCACCTTGCCGGTGATGTCCAATGTCGTCAGACCCTTAGCCGTGACCCGCGTGACCGTGTGTCCCCGCGCCCCCAGGGACAGGGTGTCTTTGCGCCCACAGGAACAGGGGTGTCCCTCACATCCCCCACCCCTCCCCACAGAACAAGGGTGCCCCCACAGCCCCCCAAAGACAAGGATGTCCCCACACCCCCAATGGAACAGGGATGTGTCTCCCCCTCCCCGGGAGCAAGGGTGTCTCCCATGTACCCCTCGAAGAACAGAGAGGGGTGCCCTGCCCCTCCCCAGAGAACAGAGGTGCCAACTCGGTGCCGCGGCGTGAGCGTCAGGCCCCGCGAGACGGCGCTGGCGGGGGCGGCTGCAGCCCAGCGTCCTCCCGTGGTCAGCTCCGGGCGTGGCCCACAATAAAGAGCCGTGGAGGACCCGCGGGCGGTGTGCGGCCATCCTTCCCGGGCAGGGGGCTCTCCCCGATGGGCGTGGTTTCCGGTCCCGCCCACAGGGGCGTGGGTTCGACGTACCGCCCACAGGGGCGTGGTCTTCCAAGCACCGCCCACATGGGGGCGTGGTCCTCGAAGTACCGCCCATATGGGCGTGGTTTTCTGGCCCCACCTACCCGGTGGGCGTGGCTTCCGGGTCCCGTCCTCCCTGTCCTCTTGCGAGGTCCCTGCTCCCGCACGGCCAGCGTCCGCTCCAGGCCCCAGGTCCCTCTGGGACTTGGCACTGGAGCCCTGCGTGGTCCTGCCCTTGGCCTCAGGGTCTCTTGTCCATTTTGTGGCCAAAGATGTCCTTCTGCGTCCCGTCCCAGAGGAGCTCCCGGAATTGTCACGGACACCCCCACCTGGACGCCCCTCGGCCCTGAGAGGCCGGCAGTGGCCTGACTGTGGGCACAGCGGGGACATGAAGGGGAGTTTGCCCCGCCCACGCCTGAGGAGCGGCCGCCAGCTTTGCGAGGTCTGGAGCCTGGGAGGGGCCAGTCCTCCCGCCACCTCCTACACACCGCGGCCGGCCGGCGCCCGCCCCGCGGGGCCCCCGCAGCTGCCCACACGCACTCTGGGCACAGGCCTGGCCCGGGGGCGCAGCCTGGCATAGAGCAGCCCAGGGCGCCTCCGCAGGACGCCAGCACAGCCTCTGTGGGGTCGCAGTGAGCTCCCGAGTCCCTGCCGCAGCCTCTCTTGGGGCCCCACGGCAAGCCCCACCAGCCCGGGGCCCCTCGGCACAGCATGGCGAGGCCCACAAGAGGAGCCATCTGCACCCCAACTCCATGCCACGCGCCAGGCACCGAGACCCCCAAACGGCACCCCGACTCCAGCTGAGGGCCAGGCAGGCCCCGGGCCTCTGACCAACAGCTCACATCTGAGCTCACCCTCAGCTCACGGAACTCAGGGAGCCTTTGATCCCCCGGGACCCCTTGACTTATTCTGAAAGATGTTAAAGGGCCTGAGGTGGGCAGCAGCCGGACCTGGACGCGCGGGCCGGGCCTCAGGAGGCTCAGGCTGCCCGGCAGCCCTGCAGGCTCCCGGCCACTGACGAGCTCTTGAGCCCCCTGGGGCCCTCGGGGCATCTCCAGGGGCTGCGACTCGCTGGCGAGGCTGCCCGCGGCAATCGGGGCCGTGCCGGGCAGCCCTCTGCCGGGCAGCGCTGTCCTCCGCTCCTGCGGCCCTCGCCGGCCCCCCCCCATGGAGCCCCATGCTGGGGCGGGAGCATCCTCCCAGGACCGGCGCTGGGCCGGGGCCGGCTTCGTCCACACCAGTGACCGCGGTGACCCTGAGGGAAGGCGAGGTGGGGGCGGGAGCGTGCAGCTGCCTCCAACCACCCTGAGGCCGGGGCAGGCGGGGCCCTCGGCACCTGCACCCCATGTCAGGATTCCCAGGCGGAGCGAGGGGGGCAGGGTGGCCTGAGCCCATGCCCGCCTCGCGGCAGGCCACTCCGCTGGGCCCCTGCTGGCGCCCCTGGCGCTGCCGACCCTACCCCAGTCTCCCGGGCCCCGGGGCTCCCCGGGGGCGGCACCGAGTCTCCTGGCTCCGCCAGCGGTGGGCATGGCACGTGTGGCCACACGGGCCGAGCTTGCGGATGGGTGGGCAGAGGGTGGACGGCGGGCGGATGGGGAAGGGAGGGCAGGCGGGTGGCCTCCCTGG